CTAAGCCTCCAACATGGTTGATATAAATGAAAAATGAAAGCATAAACACGAAAAATTCAAGGACTAGATTACTAAACACTCTTACTTTACAAGAATAAAGTTTGCTCCCTCCTTTCTCTCCAAGAGGAAGATTGCCTTTTAAGCTCCCAACAAGGGAGTATTTATAGGCAAGGAAGGGGAGGGGGTAGGGGATAGGTGAGGATGAGTGAATAGTGTTTACCGCCCATGAGAGTCAACTATTCTACAGGCAGTCTGCAGGGGGATGTTCGAACGTTATCTGGCGTTCGAACGTCAAGTCTGTCTTTGCTTTGAAGGCGTTCGAACGTCAAGTCTCTTCCATTCAAGTGGCCTGTGGTCACTGACTTGGTCTCTGACTTAGTCTTTGACTTAGTCACTTCCATACGCCTTGACATCATTGACTGTACACTCAGCAACTCCTTAGTCACTTAAGACAACGTTCGAACGTGGAGTGATGTTCGAACATTGTACTCAAGTGCTTATGGTTCTTCTCTTTTTGTTGACTACAACACGCCATGTCTCAGCAGCTAGTCTTGTTAGGGTTTCAGATGACGTTCGAACGTCCTTGCTTTGTTCCAACCTTCTGCTTTTTTGCTCCTTTTTGTGCTGGTGTTACATTCAAGTGTGATTTTTGTTGTTCTTGGGCCTTTGTTCATTTTAGGACCTGAAATGCCATTACTTAAACTCCATGAAAGCACTATTAGTCCAAAAAGGCATAGTAAAATTTGTTAACTTTACGCATGAATCAGTAACCCAGGTAATTCATTGGGAAAAACATCCAGAAAGTTCGACACCACCAATAGTACATCTGGTTGGAATTTATCCCGTTCAAGAATCTATTTTCCATCCTGGGAAATGGATGAGAAGAATTGCGATCATTCTTGAAAGTAAAAACTACTCCTCTCGGTAGTTAAAAGGAAATTCGCTTGCAAAAATAATCCATCACCGCGCGGAAAGAGGACAACAAGTTCATCCCAAATATAACGTCGTTCCCCTTCATATCTAACGTAACCAAATCGACAACCAACTCTTGCTCCCCAATGCGAAGCACACATCCTCTACACACCCTTGTTGTATCCAACCGTTCTCCCGTGGGCATGTCAATACTAAGGGCATGTTCTAGATTCTCACATCCCAATCCCAAATTAAAAGCATATGCATTACGTATGAATGAGTGTGTAGCACCGGGATCAAATAAGATTCGGGCCCAAGAGTTANATTCCCGATAACAGAGCTGTTAGTTGAAGTTGATACGCCCAAGGGTTATAAAGAAGCATGATACCTTCCACTACGGCATTAGAAGCATCCTCCTCCAGTTGAGTCAAAGCAAAAACTCTCCCTTGAATGGCGCCACCGGGGGTTTGAGCTTGTAATGGTCTTTGCTGTGCTAGCCTTTGTAGGGGTGGCTTGTTTGCTGGTACCTACCCAGTTGCTTGATTGGTCCTTGGGGGAAATGATGGGCAGTTCTTTTTGAGGTGCCCGAACCCTCCATATGCGAAGCATTGGCGTGGGTCAGTGTCTGTTCTATTTCGAGCAACCCCAGATCCTCGAACGACTTGATTCCTTTGCCCCAAAGCTTGGTCAGGTCGGTGGTACGGAGTTNATGATGGGCAGTTCTTTTTGAGGTGCCCGAACCCTCCATATGCGAAGCATTGGCGTGGGTCAGTGTCTGTTCTGTTTCGAGCAACCTCAGCTCCTCGAACGACTTGATTCCTTTGCCCCAAAGCTTGGTCAGGTCGGTGGTACGGAGTTGCCCTTTGTGTAGCTCCACTGCTGCTAGCACCAGTCCTGATTGGACCTCCCCTCGCGAAGTTCTGTCATTGTACCAGAGTGGTTAGCTCCCTTAGGCATTGATAGATGCCATTCAGGGTATCTGGAGGTGGTGGTGGTGGGTTTGCTTGGACACTATGTCCACGTCCACGTCCATGTCCACATCCACCTTCCATCCTGCACATCAATTCACAATCTAGTTTCATTGATGTACAGGACATCCTAATTATCCCTTTAACCTATAGTATAAGGTTTGGATAAAATTTCATCTAACACTTTCATTGAACATAATCCTATTTCTATAGCGGTGATCCATAACCTACAGCTCCCATGTAAGACCTAAAGCCTGAGCTCTGATACCAAAACTTTATAACGCCCCAAAACCCACCCTGGACGACATTACAAACTAAAAATCATTCACAGTATGAGAACAACTAAGTAAATTCATCATTAAAGAACATTTCATTCATCAAATATATCATTTACAATATTATCCCAAAAGAATAAGCCAACTATGGCCATTACATCCCAAAAGAATCACATTTAAACTTGCAGCGGAATAACAAAATGTTAGTCTAGATTTCACAATATTTCAAAAATGAATTGCCTATTCTAGAATAAGAGGTAATGTTGTTCTAAGCGTCCACCTCGGGAACAACCTGCCCATCTATGGGAGTCTCCCAGTGTGCCGGTTCCTCAATTCCTAATTCCTCCTCCAGTACATAATCTAAAAAATATAGTTTGTAGGGGGTGAGCACTAAGCTCTGTAGCAACATTCCTCCCAAACTCGAACAAGGTTTAGAAAAATATATAAAAATGGTCGGTCACCTTTCAAAAATAGCATATATGAAATTTTGAAGAAAACAGGGACATTTGAAACAAATCTCAAGTTTAAGCAACAATAGTAATTTAATGCATAAGTGAAACCAGTATACAACTAATAATCCATTCCACCATAAACCGTTTCTCCCAAGTTCTTGCGGAATCCCATACTTCCCAAAATTCTTGTAGAAACTATTTCTGGTACAATAAACAATAACTCATAACTTGAACATTTCACAACAATATATATATGTATCTCAAACATGATGTAAGACATCCACATGAATCAACACATTGAGTAACATCTAGCCCACACACACACACCCAAATCTTCTCAAAGATATCCAAC